TTCGGAATGTGATGCAACCACTGTGGAAATCAGTGTGGAGATTCCTCAAAAAACTAGGACCAGAGGTCCCATTCCACCCAGCTGTCCCCTTCTTGGAATCTTCCTGAAAGAATGAAAACCATCGTGTCACAGTGATATATGCACACCCACCTTTACAGCGGCACCGTTTGTAACAGCTAATCTTAGAAACAGCCCAAATGCCTACCAACCAATGAGTGGATAAAGAAGATACTTTTTTTTATACAACAGAGTACTACTCTGCCATGAAAGCCATTTCTAGCTAAATGGACACACCTTGAGATCACTTTTTTTTTGGTACTGGGAATCAAACTCACGACCTCACGCTTGCCAGGCAGGCGCTGTGCCACTGCGCTGTGTCCCTGGTGCTTGAGATCACTCTTAAGTGAAATCAATCGGACACACACGTGTAAATGCTGCACGGTTTCTCTGGTGTGAGAAACTGAAAGTGTAATTAAGGACCAACACGTATTAACAGGCACTGTGAAATAGGAAGACAATGTTCAAATGCGGAGGGGACCACGGGACGGGCGGGCGGGGGAGGGGAGAAGGGCAGAGTAAAAAGGAGAAAAGGAAAAATGGAAAGCAGCTTTCTTAAATGGAGAGGGAAGGAGGGGCTGGGAATGGGAAAAAAACCACCCAAGTTATACCAGGAACAGGCGCAGACCCCCAGATTCCCTGTGAGGAATGCAATCACTGTGTGCACTGCAGACGTGCGGATAAAATCGGACTGGGAGAAAAAGCACGCCAGCCGACGGCGACGGCCTCGGCGGGTCTGCAGGGCGGTCACGGCGGTGCGGATTCGCACAGCGGTGTGCGGGCCTGCATGAGGGGCTTGGCGGGGCACAGCCGCTGCCGCACTCGGGTCTGCTCATCCAGATGCCAGAGGCCAGCCTGGCAGCCTGGCAGCCTGGGCTCTGAGCACAAAGGCCTTTGTCACGCAGGTCACTGTGCGATGAAGTAGCCACAAAGGGCTTCTTTCTCCTGCAGCGCTGTGGGAAGCGCTTCCCACTCAAGAGCAGCTTAAAGCTAACAGCCACTCGAAGCGACTGCAGCTGCTCAGAATGCCGGCAGTGACGAACCAGCGCTGTCACCCAGACAGAATCGCACACCGAGGTCCCTCAGCTCTGCCTCAGCGCTGCGGCATGCTTGTGTCATAAATACATGTGACATATTTTTAGGTCTCCTCATAAGCTGTGGGAAACCCCTGAATATGTAAGGTGAGTCTGTTTGAGTGGCTGGGGCGCAGCTCGCTGGTGGAGTCTGCTCGGTATACCCGGGGCCCTCCCTGGCTTCCATCCTAGCACTCAACCATAGCCAGGCATCATGGCCCACACCTATTATCCCACAGCACTTGGGAGGCTGAGGCAGGAGGATGCCCAAGTTCAAAGTTTTAGACCTTGCCTCAAAATACCAAAATAAGAACTATTATTCAAACAACTAGGATAATTCTCTTAGTAGGTCCTATTTATTTATTTGGAGGAGGTCTGCATGTTTTTTTTCTTTTCAATGTCAGAGTCTCTATGTAGCTCAGGCTAGGGTCAAACTCACGGAGATCCTCTTGCCTCAGCCTCCCTAGTTGCTGGGATGACAGCTGTGCGCCACCACGCCCAGCCTAGACCCTAGCTGGCGCTGGAACAGGATCATGCAAATGGCTCCAGGTTAGTCTAGTGACTGCCTCTGCCACTGCTTACGCCTCTACCAGGTGCGGGTGTGATTAAAGGGTGCCTTCATTAGCAGTTAAAGGGCAAACTGCAGGAGCTAAGCTGGGATCCCACAGGCATTACTTAGGAAGACAAAAAGAGAAGCCAGGCATGGTGGTGCAGACCTGTGCTCTCAGTGCTCTGAGAGGCTGAGGCAGGAGGATCCCAAGTTTGAACCTGGCCTGGGCAGTTTAGTGGCACGCTGCCACAAGGCGGGGATGGGCCAGGGGAGGGCACAGCAAGCCAAGCCCGAGATGCGAGGGGAGCGGCAGTACCTCCTTCTGCAGCGAGCACCAGCAGTGGATCCAGGACGTGTAGACTGGGGAGTAGGGGGGGCACCCACCAGCAAGCCTGCGAGAGAGAGATGGCTGCTTGCGTCCGTGGCGACCCGGGGCCGGCCCGCCCGATGACCCCGATGACACTGTGACAACATGCGGCCCTGCCGCCACGGGCGCTGAGGGAGTTTTAGTTCTACTTTCTTTTTAGCCCTACTAAAACAAATTATGCTGGAGGAGGCGGAGATCAAACACCTCAGGGGGATCCCCTGCGCATCTACATTTCTCGTCACAAGGACGACGTCGCTCCTTCCCATAGTGACGCTGCTCATCGGCGGACAAGGGACACTCGAGCACAGCAGCGACAGGAGACTTAAAAACTGCCTGCTGCTGGCACAGCGCCAACTGCTGGAGCGGGTCTGACACCACGGGCTGCACTCCTGCTCCGCGTCCCTGCCGCCACCTGCTCTAGCAAAGCCCGGGGACACGAGCAAGTGCCGGTGTCACTCTGCCTCCAACCGGTGTCACTCTGCCTCCAACCGCACCCTGCAATCGGAGGCGGCGGGAAGCGGCGTGGCGGCCAAGCGGCCCAACTCACGCCGCCGCCTCACTTCCTGTCCCAGGACAGACGGTGGCCTCACTTTAGGAACTCACTTTGTCCCTGAAGGAAATCAAGGACAGGTCACCCCTCAACGCCCGACGCACCTGCCACACTCACGGGAACGCGCACACTGCAGTGCGTAGTGATCCTGCCCCTTCTCACGTGAGACCTACGCTACTGGCGACCGCATATGAACTTGAGAAGCGTACGGGGCCCTTGAGACGCCGTCCGCGCCCACTCTTCCGCAAGAGCCACGCAGCTGCTGTGTGCGAGCAGCGGCCAGGGCTGCCGCAGGGGCTCTGCAGAGGGAGCACCCACCACCTGGGGCCTTCTGGGCTGGCAGGGGAGAAGCCAGAGCCCGGGCTACTACGGCTCAGGCCGGGCAGGACGCTGCTGGCCCTGGGCGGCCCCAGCCTGCGCCCGAAGGAGAGGAGCGGAGGACTCACCCGCAGTTGTTGACGGCCATGAGGTTGGACACAAGCACGAAGGGGTAGGTGAGCATGCTGGCGAAGAACTGGGAGCAGAGACTGTGGTTAGAGGCCGCCCCGCCACCCAGCCCAGCGACCCAGGCAACCGCGCCGCCTGCGCCGTCAGCGCTTTCGGTCAGCGCTGCGGCCGAGCGCGGGGCCTTGGCACCAAGCCACATTCCCGGGCCTTTTTAAATTATTTTCTCCAGCTCTTTTTAACATTTTATTTTGAGATGGGGCCTTGCCAACCTGACGAGGCTGACGCCAATCTGCAATCCCACTCGGCCTCCCAGGCAGAAGGGGCTGAAGGCCTGCACCTGGCCTTCCTCTGCCATGTTAACAAAGGGCAGGCGTTTCGCCCAACCGGAACCCCGTCCTCGTTCAATTGAAACTGAGCCACATCACAGAGGGTAGCAAGTAAACACAACCACTAGAGAGAAAGCTTTCAAAACACACTGTAAGAAAATAGGAGCATGCTGGGCGTGGTGGCGCACGCCTGTAATCCCAGCACTCGGAAGGCTGAGGCAGGAGGATCACTGCGAGTTTGAGGCCAGCCTGGGCTACAAAGTGAGCTCAAGGCCAGCCTGAACTGCATAGTGCAACCCTGTCTCAAAAACACAAACAAACAAACAAAAAGAAAATAGGAGCATTCTTCCAGAGACGATGGAAATTACTTTAAAAGCCACTGACTAGCTGGGCACGGTGGGGTGTGCCTGTCTTCCCAGGGACTCAAACCTGCCACCCTCCTGCCTCAGCCTCCCTAAGAGTACAAGCATGCACCATACCTGGCTACAGGCCAGACTTAAAAGAAAAAAACAACCATTCTTAGAAGGTTAGGAAAATTGTAAAAACTCACTCCTGTGACAGCTTGGGAATAACTCTTCATTTCATTCATGGTGGAAACCTGAAATAAGAAAACAGCCTCTGTCAGAATGAGTCAAAAAATTAAGTCAATATTAGCCCCCACAGGCACAGCAAGATATTTTATTTCTAAATTGTGTTTCTCTGACAGCTTTTTTTTTGAGACAGGGTCTTCCTATGAGTTCAGGATAGCCTCGAACTCTCAGCAATCTTCCTGCCTCAGCCTCCTGCGTGCCAGTATTACAGGTCTGAGCCACCATGCCCAGCTCCTGAAAATCAATTTGGAAGATTAAATATAAAATGCTAGTCATGAGCATAAAAAACCAGCAATCAAAATGATCAACTTGATTTACAACTGATGAATTTGTATTGCACTGGAACGGTTTAGGAACAAATGTGACAGCCTCAATATTTCAAAAATGAAGATGAGATTGATAGCACGTGTTAAAACATTAATAAGACATTTCCGCATCCTGAGTGTGTGGCCTGCAAAGCTCTGCCCACGGCGTGTCCGTGCGCAGCTTCCCAGCTCTGCATGGGGCCAGGTGAGCACGCACCCAGGCTGTGCCGTGCAGCTGTCTGCTGTGAAGACGCCGCCACAAAGCAGAGGGGAGAGCCACTTCCGGAAAGGCTGGCTCCCAACACCTCCCAGATCTGCGGGAGCCTGAGCGTCCCCTTAGTACCCTGGTCACACGGATGTAGGGGTTAGACCTAGGGTGCCCCCATAGTCTCTGGCCTTCAAAGGTGGGGCCCTGGGTGGCGACCTGCGGGTGGGGATGACACCCGCCAGGGCACGGGTCAGGCCACAGCGGGGTGCTGGACCGGAGGGCGGGGTGCCGGGCAACGCCCGGGCCCGTTCCCTTGCAACTCCTCCTCTCCCTGCTCCCCCGTCCCCGAGCTGAGCAGCTTGTCCTGCGCCCGGCCCCTCTGCTCCTGCCTGCCAGGCACCAGCGGAGCGTAGAATGAAAACACGGGCCCAGGCAACCCTCCTCCCCTTCGCCGGGCAACAGGCACTTTGTCCCAGCGATGGAAGAGTGAGGAGGACAAGAGACCCCCACACAGGGCATGAAGCAGCCCTCTGCCTCACTGCGCGCTCTGACTCGGCTATCGATAAAGGAACGCTCTCGGTAAGGCCTGGGACGGCTCAGTCCCCAGGCGCTCCGTCACCCCTCAGGGCCTCCACAGGTCACCTCTCTGCAGTCAGCGGAGATGATCTCCCTCGCCTTGAAAATGCGACCCATCATTTCACCCCCAACCACGTCCCGGCAGGCAAGGCGGCCCGACACCGGAGGCCCACGCCCACACCGGCCCTTCGCGCGCCGCACCTACCCCACTGTCCAGGGCGTAGGTATTGACGAGGTAGGCCAGCGAGTTACAGAGCCACAGAGAAATGATGTCCCCCAGCAGGCGAGGAATCAGACCTCTAGTGAAGAGACAATGAAGGTAACCAAGCAGCGTCACCAGCGAAAGGCGATCCACCCACACACACCCTCAAAGCGCTCGATTTGGAAACGTCCTCCGGGACCCGACAGATGTCCAGCCCTGCATCCACGTCTCACCCCAGCTTCTCAAGGCTGGGGTGGCGTCGGATGGCTTCTGCGCCCACTCTGAAAACACAGTAGGCCACGCCCTCCCAACTACTCAGGGCTTGCGCTGCTCTTATTCACTCCCAGCAGCGAGGCCCAAGATTTGGAAGGTGCTTTGTAGAAAACACTTAAATATAGCATTACTAAACTACTTGATACTGAAAGTGGCAGGTCAGAAGATACAGAGGGTTCAAACAGAAACGAGGGGCATCAAAAACATGTTTCCCAGTCAGGCATGATGGTGCACATTGTAATCCCTCCACTTAGGGAGGCTGAGGCAGGAGGATTGCAAGTTTCAATCATACCCGGACAATCTAGTGAGAATGTCTCAGAAATGAAAAAATTACAAAGGGCTGGGAGGTAGCTCAAACCCCTGGGTTTGAGCCATAGTGGGGAAAACAAAACAAACACATTTCTAGAGATGGGGAGCAGACGGAGTCATGGGAAGAGCAGTGGGAGTCCACCCCACCCCCGGTACGCAAGAGGCAGCAATGAGTGCTGTGTCCCATTCTGGACCAGAGACTGAATCCAAGGCCTCGACACCGAACCGCATCTCCAGCCCATTTTTTCTTTAACTTTGAGACAGCTGCCAAACTGCCCAGGCTGGGTTTGAACTTTCGATCCTCCTGCCTCACGCCCCCCCGAGTGCTGAGGTTACAGGTGCCGCCACACCAGGCTTTTTTAAGTCTCTAAAAACAAGACGACTGCCAGTCATCCTGCAGATGGCCCCGAGTATCTACGACACTCAAACCAAGTGAAGTGGGCTGAGGGTGGGGCCTGGTGGAGCGCGTGCAACTCCCAGCACCAGAGGAAAACGTGGAAGCACTGTGAAGTAAACGGGACCGTGGGGTTAGTAACGCCACGCGTTGGCATTTGCACGTCTAGGGACAGAACCTATGGCCCCACACGTGCTATGCAAGCCCTCTACCATGAAGCTACACCCAGCCCTTTGTCTTTCTTCTTTTCAAACACAGTCTCTCTAGGCCAGCCTCAAACTAGCAACCTCCTGCCTCAGCCTCCTGAGTAAATGGGTTTATACAAGTGTGCCGCCACATGCAGCTTCCAAGGTTCTGTTCACAGAATGAGTATAATTGACTAAGTTTTTCCGAACTAAAACTTTGTTTTCTTAGGATACGGAAAATAAGGACTGGCGATATAGCTCAGCAGCGCAGCGCCTGCTGGTAAGCACGAGGTCCTGAGTTTGATTCTCAGTACAAAAAAAAAAAAAAAGAGCAGGATAAGAAAAATATATGAAGATGATTTTTCTATGTTTCAAAAATTAATTTTCCCCATTAACTGAATATATACCTCTGAGGCAGGAAGATTGTAAGTTTCAATCATATCTGGACAATTTAGCAAGAATGTCTCAAAAATGAAAAAATTACAAAGGGCTAGGAGGTAGTTCAAACCTCTGGGTTTGAGCCACAGTAGGGAAAACAATTTTATTTGATTGTTTTTTAAATTTTGAGACAGGGTCTAAGTTACCTAGACTTGCCTTGAACTTGCAATTCTCCTGCCTCAGCCTCCCGAGTAGCTGGGGCAACAGGTGCGTACCACCGCACCTGGCTAGAGGTGTGAGATTTTTACAACAAGGAATTTAAGCCAGAAGGGACCTAAAAGGAGCGTAACATAAAGTAAACCCAGGGAGTACATTTTCCCTGGGGGTTAAATGAACACTGCCCGCCCTTATTTTCAGAAAAGCTTTTCCACTCACACAAAAACCACACACAAAGAACCGTCTACTCACGCGAAGAATCCCAGGATGCCCTCTTCTCGGTAGATGGTCACTACAGAGTCACAGAGCCCGCTGCGGACACAGGGGAGGGGACGGGCGGATGCTGAGCTCACACAGGCTGTGCGAGAGCCCCCACGCCTGCCGGCTGCACTCTGGCTCTACACAGGGAGACGCCACTGCTGAGGGTGCAGAGGGTGCACGGTCAGAGCTCGAGCTCCACCTTCCCCTCCTGCGGGCTTGGCTGGGCACCCCAACTCCTGGGGCTGATTCTGCCTGTTCCCCGGCCTTCCACGTGCAGCAAAGCTCAACACCGCAGAGCTGTGCTGGAAGGGCCAGGAATCACACAAACGGAGACCACTGCGGCTTCAGGAGCGCTCCTGAGCGCTGAACGCACTCACCAGTACTTGGATTCTCTTCCTATGAACTGCACCATCGATCTCAGAGTGATGACTGTAGAATACAGAGAAAAGACTCGTACAAACAGGATGGCAAAGACAGCCTCAAAAAAAAAAGGCATTTCCACCTAAGGAAACTGCTATCTGCAAAAACTGGAGAAAAGCTGGGCATGGTAGCGCACGCCTGTAATCCCAGCACTCAGGAGGCCAAGGCAGGACCTCCAGTTTGAGCCCAGCATGGCACCTTAGCAAGATTCTATCTAAAAATGTAAACAAGGGGTGGGGATATAGCTCAGTGCAAAGGCCCCGGGTTCAATTCGCAGTGCCAGCAAAAATGGCACTTCATCAACTCCCGGGCCAGCCTGTCTGCACAGCCAGGAGAGACGAAGCTGCCTGAGGATGAGTGGCGGACGTCAGGCGCCAAAGGCAAACGTACCGTGGAAGGGGTGCGTGATGAGGGTAGCAGCGGAGCGAGCAATCATCTCTCGAGTTGTCTAGAAACAGGGAATAAACACACTTCAACTCGTGACCAGGAACGTGGCAGTGCTCCAGCGCCCGGAGCCCGTGGACTGGCTGGACGGGGTCTGCTGACACTCGGCCACAGGCCCCGAGCCTGTCCCTCCCAGCGGCTCTCTCAAAGGTTTCCGGCCTCAGCTCCACACATCTGAACAAAGCCGGGAAACGAGGTGGCACCCGCGGGGGCACGGCCGGCACTGGGGGCAGTTTCTGAGCACACGCGCTCTGCACCCTGCTCCGTGCCCTCGGGAGGCTGCGGCCCTGGCACGGGAAGATGAGGGGGAGGCAGCCTGCGCTCCCCAGCCGCTCTGCTCTGCCTGCCTAGGCGTCTTCCTCCCCAGAGTCACGTCAGGAGGTGGGCAGTCACCTCAGCTCGGAGGTAGATCTGGGGCTGAGGCAGGATGACTGCTTCAAGTTTGAGGCCAGCATGGGCTAGAGTGAGTTCAGGACCAGCCTGGACTACTCAGTGAAACCCTGTCTCAAAAAACTACAAAAAAAAGCTCTTTTTGTTTTTTGGTACTGGGAATCGAACCCTGAGCCCTGCACTTGTCAGGCAGGCGCTGCGCCGCTGAACTACATTCAGACCAGTTTTTCTTTTTCTTAAGCCAGGTGTGGTGGCACATATTTACGATCCCAGCACTCAGGAGGCTAAGGCAGGAGGACCGCTTCAAGTTCGAGGCCAGAATGGGCTACATAGTGAGCTCAAGGCCAGTCTGAACTGCACAGAAAAACAAACCAAACAAACCACCACCAACTTTCTTGGTATAGGTCTGTAACACTGACTACAGTGCAGGAATGATGTGTGTACACACAGCGTGGTGGGGCCCCAGCACTTCGCTGCACAGCATAGCCTGTGCTGGGTGAACGCCCACACGCCATCTCGGTGAGAAGTCTGCCAGGGACAGAGCGCAGAGGGGATGCCTGCCGGGACTGCGCCGGAGCCGGGGCCGTCAGGAGCCTGCTGTTGCTGTTGTTTTGCCTGCTGCTGCTTCGCACACACTGGCAGTACACAATGCATACATTCGTTGTGGGGAGTGGCGTATGTACACATGTACACACGTACGCACACGCACGCACACACAGCATCTTAACCCTGCTCACACACGTACTCCTCCTCCCTCTGGAAAGCCCAATTTAAGTCGAAGGCTCACTTTTCTCTGGGGACAGACAGGGAAGCACCGCCTTGTAACCCTGAATCCGCAGAGGCCGCAGAGCTCAGGATCAGGCAGAGAGCAAGGCAGAAACTTCGTCTCTCACCTCTTTGATAACTTGGTCAAAGGAAGGCGAGCCTTCTTTTTGTACACTTCCAGGTCCAGACTCCTGGAAATCAAAATCAGAGAAAAAACCGAAGAATGAGATGCCTCCCCTCATAAGAGACCCCATCAAAACCTGGGCAACCAAATGCACAGACGCTTCCCCGAAGTACAGATGGCCAACAGACACGTGAAAAACATGTTCACCATAGCTGGCCATCAGATAGGTGCAAATTAAAACAACACTGAGCTTCCATCTCACTCCAAAGACGGGCATCATCAGGAAATCTAGTAATAACAAATGTGGGTGAAGCCACAGGAAAAAGGAACCCTTTCTACGCTGTTGGTGGGAGTGTGAACCAGTACAGCCACGATGGAGATCAACATGGAGACCCCTCAGAACACTGTAACTAGCCAGGTGTGGTAGCACACGCGTATAGTTCCACTACTTGGGAGGCTGAGACAGGAGGATCACCGTGAGTTCAAGGCCAGTCTGAACTACCAACCTGTCTCAGAAAAACAAACAAAACCAAAAAACCCCAAAACTAGAAATTACATTTGACCCAGTTATTCCCCTTCTAGCAATCATCTCGAGTTAAGGGCATCATATTACTGTGATAAATCCATAAAAAGCCTATATGCCCGTCAAGAGACGGATAAGGAAAATGCGGTACTTACATACAATGTAGTACTACTCTGTCATAAAGGATAAACTTGAGTCATTTGTAGGAAAAGATGCACTGTGTGACTAAAACGATAAGTGAAATAAATGAGACACACAAGCTTAGGCATTGCATTTTTTTTCCTGAGACAAGGCCTTGCTATATAGTCCAGGCTGGCCTCCAACTTGTGCCTCAACCTCCTGAGGCCTAGGGTTTTTTTTTTTTTGGTCTTTTTGAGACAGGGTCTCTCTATGCAGTTCAGGCTGGCCTTGAGCTCACCTTGTAGCCCAGGCTGGTCTCAAACTCACAACGATTCTCCTGCCTTCTGAGTGCTGGGATTATAGGTGTGCACCACCACGCTAGCTGCAGGGTTTCTTATATGAGAAATCCAAAATATAAAGAAAGAGAAAAATAAAAGATAAACCTGAAGTTCAAGAAGATTTGAAGAGATCTTCAAATGGGAAGGGGAACAAGAGATGGAGTGGGAACAGAACAGAAAGAAGTGAAAAGAGATTTAAAAAAGACCAGAACGTAAAAATGGAAATAGGGCTTCTGGAAATGGGAAGGGAATCGAGAGCTGGCGGGAGCGAGGAGGGTGGGGGCGGGGGATGGAAACGAGCAAGGGCGTTACACACATGGACCAACTCCCCGCAGTAAATGCAGTCACTACGTGCTGTAAGATGTACTAATAAAAAACTAAAAAGACTCAAAAAAAAAAAAAAAATCAGAAGGTAGGAATTTGGGGAAAAAAAAGAAAAAAATAATTCTGCCAGGTTTTTGTTTTATGTAGCCCAGGCTGGCCTTGAACTTGTAGTCATCCTCCTGCCTCAGCCTCCCAAGTACTGGGATCACAAGTACCCACCCGCATGCCCAGCAGTCAGTTTTATTTTTTATTTACTTATTTTTTTGGGGTGGTGGAAGTTGTCTTACTTATTTTTTAATTAAGTTTATTGGCACATTCTAGGTATATGAAATGATCATATTCCTCATAGAGACTTTGTACCTGCACAGGACTGTAACTTGACTCTTTTTTTTCCCATTCTCCTCCTTCCCTGGCCCCTTTTCCCCTTATTTACAAAAGCTTCTTTCCATTTTTCCTTCTTTTCTTGTTTTTTCCTCTTCCTTCCCTCCTCACTCCCCGCAGTTCCTCTTCCCATTTGAAAATGTTCATGTTTCACAACAGTACACGTCTTGGTCCTTACTTACACTTTCGGTTTCTCACACCACAGAAGCCATGCAGTATTTACATGTATGTGTCCAATTTATTTCACCTCGGAGTGTGGTCTCAAAGTGCATCCATTTAGCTAGAAATGTTTCAGGTTTATCCTTTACGGCAGAGCAGTACTTCACTGTATAAAAAACCGTATCTTCTTTTTTTTTTTTTTTTTTGGTTTTTCTCCGGTACCGGGAACCGAACTCACGACCTTGCGCTTGCCAGGCAGGCGCTTTTGCCGCTGAGCTAAATCCCCAGCCCAAAACCGTATCTTCTTTACCCAGTCACTGGCTGATGACATTTGGGCTGTGTCCAAGATTTGGCTATTTATAAACTGTGCCGCTATAAACGTGGGTGTGCATGTATTGTTGTGATATGATGCTTTTCGTTCTCTCAAGAAGATTCCAAGAAGGGGAACAGCTGGGTGGAATGGGACCTCTAGTCCTAGTTTTTTGAGGAATCTCCACACCGATTTCCACAGGGGTTGCTCCAGTCAGCACTCCCACCAACAGTGGAGAGGGTTCCTTTTCCCCCACAGCCCACCAGCATTTGTTACTGGCTGGTATCTTGATGATAGCCTTTCTTTCTGGGGTGAGATGGAATCTCAGTGTTTTAATTTGCATCTCTCGAATGACCAGGGATGTTGAACATTTTTTCATACATTTATTTCCAGCTGTGTTTTAAATAGAGCCGCTCCAGCTCTCGGCCCTGCCCCAGCCAGCACTGGCTGCGACGGAACAAGAGGCCGCAGATCTCTCCTAGAGGCCCAGCCCTAACCGCATGCAAGGGGCCTGCCGGAGCACGGCACTCAGCCTCAACGTACCTCGGGCTTGTCACCATCCTGGTAATGCTACGGAGGAAACAGAGAAAGTGCATTAGGTCTGTTCACGTGTCATGTGAGGGAAGACAAGATGACAGCTTACTGGCACAGAATAAAACAGCGGGCATTTTTGTTTTGTTTTTCTGCAAGTCTTCAATCAGTTTCTACTGCTAATTAATCAACCGGAAATAAATATCTCCAAGATGATCTTGTTGCAAACTTTAACATACTGGTGGTCAGCTGGAGGAACAAAAGAAGTGTTCATGAAAACTCTTATTTATAACAAAGGAAGTCAGGCCTGGTGGCACAGGCCTGGGAGCCTTGCATTCTGCGAGGCTGAGGCAGGAGGATTGCAAATTTATGTCCAACCTGGGCAATTTACACAGTCCTCGCCTCAAAAGAAAAAAGCAAAAAAAAGGGCTGGGGACATAGCTCACTGTGCAGCCTCTGGCTCAGTCCCCAGTAACACAAAGAAAATCAATCAATGACGATTTTTCCTCTTCTTTTTTTGTCTTTTTGAGACAGGGTCTCACTATGTAGTTATGGTTAGCCTTGAACTCACTTTGTAGCTCAGGCTGGTCTCAAACTCATAGCGATCCACCTGCCTCAGCCTTCCAAGTGCTGGAATTACAGGTGTAAGCCACCACGCCCAGCAATTTTTCCTCTTCTGCAGAAGAGAATATGAATAGAGCCAAAAGCCAGAGTATACTGGGAGAAGAAACACTAGATATTTTAGAAGTAGAAAGCAGACTGGGAGAAAATACAACAATCAGACAACTGAGCCCCTTATTACACGACACTTTTATTACTTTCTAGTTGTACTAGATCAAAAAAAAGACAACACTTTTTTTTGTTGCAGTTTTTTTGAGACAGGGTCTCCCTATGTAGCCCAAGCTGGCCTTGAACTTGCAATCCTCCTGCCTCAGTCTCCCAGTGCTGGGACTACAGATGTGGCACCACCACGCCTGGCTACAGTACCTTCTTCTGTAAAAAGAACTGATATTTAAAAAATCACAGGGATACAGCTCAGGGGCACAACATTTGCGTAGCATGCAAGAGGCCCCAGTTTCCTTCCCCAGCAATGCACACACACAACTACACAATCACAGGCAAGAGAAATGTTAAGATTTGGCAAAGTGCTACCTTTTGGCTATATTTCAGGTCTATGGCTACAATTAATTCTAGTAGTTTCAGGTCTTTCTGACTTACACTGTGATAAGTGCAACTGAGAAACCAGAACAATCAAAGTACCACCAGCTTTACCGTCAGAAATAAAAGGAACCTGGCACCGCCAGGGATATAGCTCAGTGGCGTAAGTGCCAGCCTGACAAGTGCAAGGTCCTGAGTTCAATTTCCAGTACCAAAAAATAAAAATAAAAGGAATCTGGCAAAACCGAAGAATCACTAGCAAACAAGGAACTGTGTCTGTGATGCTCCCATGCGTACTCTGTGGAGGGACAATCCATGTTTCGTCTGTGTCGGCCTCTGCCACACCCAGACTGCCGGTGGCTTTGGGAGGAAGAGGCCTTGAATAAGGACATGAAGTCTGACACAGGTCCCGCCACCCTGCACCAAGCGCATCCATGGGGGCACCGCCTCCCGCAGGCCACCTGTGCCTTTCTAGGTCCTCTGCTCCTCACCGGGCTTCTCTCCCTGTCCGGCCCATCCCTGACGGTGCACACGATCCTTGTGACCCCTCCCAGGCCCTCCACGGCACCGGGGACTTGGGGGCACCACCGCCCAGGCCCTCCCACTGGCTTTGTCCGTGGCAGGACGTGCCTGCGAATGGGCAGAGAAGCAGAAGAGCCATCGGCTGCCACCCTCACCTGCCTCCTCTCCAACCTCCATCGGGGAGGCACCTGGGCCCATGGCTCCTGTCTGTGCACAGGGGACCCGGCCCAGCCCAGCTTAGCACACGAGGGCCCTGTGACCACGGTGTCCCAGGCAGCCTCAGTGGCACAGCAGTGGCAGACCACTCAGGGGCTCGGGTGCGGCACAGAGCTGGGAGACCAGGAGACCCAGGAGGTGGCAGGCGGCGCGCGCGCGCACACACGCGCGCACACACACACACGCGCACACACACACACACGCACACACACACACACACACACACACGCACACACACACACACGCACACGCGCGCGGTAAGCCCAGGCATGGGGCTTGGCCTACTGGCATTAGGACCTGAGACCTGACGCTGGCTGGGCGGAAGCAGATGCTCTGCCTTAGCCAGCAGGGCCAGGAACAGACGCTGAGGTCGGGGCTCAGCCCTGCACTGATGTTTAAACACTTTCTGGGCTGGAGGTAGAGCTCACAGGCAAAGCCCAGCTGAACACATGGGAGGCCTAGGCTCCACTCCCAGCACCAGAAGGAAAAAAAATTACGAAACATCTCTCACGTATCAAAAAAATGTAAAAGTTCACCTACACCCCCACCACCAAGGGACACGCCCTGCAAACGGGCACTGCTCCTGCAGGGAGGTGCGCTGCCCGGCCTGGCCCAGCCCAGCCCAGCCCCTCCACACCTCTGCCCTTCAGGGCTCAAGGTCTCCGCCTTCTTACCATCCACAGGGACGGCCACACCCAGTCCTCCTCTGGTCCTTCCCTGCCCCAAAGCAACCACTGTCCTGCACTGGCTACGATTTGACCAGGCCTTACCTTTCACACATACACAAAACAGAGCACAGAACACCGGCGTCCAGCATTGTAAATAATTAATAGGCAACGACCCACACAGGCCAAGAAGAGCACTGCCGCTCCCAGCTGCTCCATCCTCTCCTCCATAAATAACCACTCCCCTGACTTGTACACTTATGTCTTCTTTTTCTGGGAGCTGGGGGGGTACTGAAGACTAAATCTACACTGAGATAAATTCTCTGCCCTTTTTATTTTTTTTGGTTTTTTTTTGGTTTTTCTCCGGTACCGGGAACCGAACTCACGACCTTGCACTTGCCAGGCAGGCGCTTTTGCCGCTGAGCTAAATCCCCAGCCCCTCTCTGCCCTTTTAAAAATTTTTTGAGACAGGGTCTTGTTGAGTGGCGAGGTTGTCCGAGCTGGGCTGCAACTTGCAATCATCGTGCCTCAGCCTTCCAGAGTGCTGGGGTGGATTACAGGCATGCACCACCTAAAATTCTTTCTTTAAAAAATAGTCTTTAATAGAAAATGTGTCATTAAGATCACACTAGGTACCAGGTGTGGCGGTGCACATCTGTAGCCCCAGTACTTGGGAGGCTGAGGCCAGAGGGTAACTCTGAATTTGAGGCCGACCTGGACTACACAGTGAGTTCAATGACAGCCTGAACTGTACAGTGAAACCTTGTCTCAAAACAAGAAACAAAAACTGCTCTTAATCAGTAAAATGAACTAAACATAAAAGGCAGCCAAAATCCAAGGAAGATGAGCTGCTGTTCTCCTACCTGTAAGACTCTACCGTGGACCACAGTTCCAAGGACGCCCGAGCACAGTCTGGGCGTTAAGCCGGTGAACAGCCCGCGCTTCCCATCGATGCTCGCAATGTGATGAGCTAGGAACCAAGGCAGAGACTTCAGCGCCGGGCAGAGAGTGGCTGTATGAACGTCAAGGCGCCCTCACTTTTTTCGGTAGCCCCTGCCTGCCCGTCCGCAACATCATCTGACTGTGAACACATCCAAGACACTCACCGTAACTGAAGAGACCTGGAAGCTGACACACTTGCCGCCCAAAAATATTCCGTCCTACTTTTGGAGGAAGAGGCTCGTATCCCACCTTTAAAAACAAGGGAAAACCTTAACACTGAGCGTTCCCACGAATACCCTGGCGGCAGGCCTTAAATAAACACAAGTACAAACGCAATTTATGTCTTCCGGTGGAGAACTAAAGTACCACCCTGTTCGGTTTCTGTTCTGTCAAACTGATTAAGTCTGGGTTCAATAAACTCTAGTCCAAAGTGCACGAAGCAGGCTAATATTTTCTTTATAACTGAAAATAGCGTAAGGAAACTTCTGTTAGGAACATTTTACTGGGGAAGCTCAAAAAATAGTTTCAGAAGAAAACCTAGGGCACTTTTAATGTTTGAACAAGACAAGATGCCTACCCTGACAGCATCAGTTGGTTAGACAGAAACATTCAAAGGCCAAATGTAGATGTAGCCGGGAAATTCACTTAGGAAATGACCACAAGCTTGGTTCCTGTTAGATGAACTGAGCGTCATTAACAATTTAATAAATGCCGTTTTATAAACTAACGATTACCACTGTATTTGTGCAGTCTATTCAGAATTTGTGACGTACTAGGGTATTTGAGGGACCCACCGCTGCAGGACACAGTTTTGACTCTGCATTCCTGTGACCTCTGAATCTATTCTATTAAATAACTTCTGTCTGCTATCATGGAACTATTTTTAAAGCTGAGTATTTGGGAATTTCACCAAAACCCACACATTTGACAGCACCCCAGTGTTTCAAAATAAGAATAAATGGCATTCAAGCTTTTGAGTTAAGAATTCTGAATGTCACTTACCACGTCTCCCGGGAAACTATTGAGTAATGGGTTCACACTGACTATGCTGAAAAACGTCACCTCAGATGCCATCTACCCCACATGTGCCAATCCTGTGTTTTGCTTTGTTTTTTGGTCTTTTTGAGGGGGGTCTCGCTGTGCAGTTCAGGCTGGCCTTCAACTCACTTTGTAGCCCAGGCTGGCCTAGAACTGGCAGCAGTCCTCCTGCCTCAGCCTCCCCAGTGCTGGGATTCAATCTTCTGTTTTAAACATCACAGTACATGTCATCAAAGTCTCCGCTTTGGGTCCAAATAACCTGTGTCACAAGAGGCTTCTACACACAGAATCTGAATGTACTCGGGTCAACGGCAACAAGTAATTTCCGTCAGTACCACCTCGGGAGTAAGGTCCTCCCCTCCTGTCCGCGTGTTTTCTACGAAAGGGAAAGACCAAGACCCTAAAAGCTGTTTCCTTCCTTGACACAATGAATGAGGTACTTATGCCAACTCTCAACAAAGCTTTAAAAAAAAGAGTGACTGGCTCTTCATAGGGAAATCTAGAAAAGCAAGTGAAAATGTGATCTAGGTGTGTTACCAGCTACAAACGCAGGGTCTACCTGCCTGTGAATACGGAATGCCACGTAAGAATACTTACAGGACATTAGAAAATAAAGCAAGGGGAGGCACAGGTGAGGCACCAGGGAGCTCGCGCTGCTGTTCAAACTCCCAAACTCTGCGCGGAACTGTTTTCCAGCCGGACGAACGCGGTTTTCGCTGTCACACAGCGCTCAGACCGCGGCTGCCAGGCAGCGCTCAGGGCAGCCTTCTGCAACCTGACTTTCCGATCAGCCCTGAATGGGCTCCTTGTGTTTACCTGGGTATCTGGGGTCACAATCTCGGAACACAACAGCTGTAGCGACAGCCCCAAAGTCAATGGATGAGAAGGAACAAGAAACGCGAGCGAGAAATAATAAAAAGCTGGCTCGCTCGTCCTTCCACTTTGGCGGCCGCCGAGCGCGTCGCGCCCGCGCGGGCGGCCCGGCGTGGACGTCCCCGCTG